AAGGTGAGGACACCAGTGCTTCGGGCATCAGGTTCCAAGTATTGATGACTCGGTTTGAAAACCTGTACGCCATGGGTATTTTGTTCGTTCTTGACTTCTCTACTCGCCTGCTATGTCTTCTGAGATGGCCCGATCTAGTGGGAAGAAAAAGAGAGAATAAGTTAGATTCAAAATCATTTCGCAGTCTTCTGTACATCAAAATTAGATCTCTCCTTAGTCTGCGATATGACAGAGTAAAGAGGTCCAGCTTTTCAAACCGCTCTTTGTATGGTAAACCCCGGAGTTTTGGAATTGCACGGGTAGCTGCCCTCTGTACTTTTGTTGTGTTTACATTTCTCTATTGATCTTTCTACCTGTCCATCTATACAGTTCTCAACCTAGTTTTTATTATGATATTGATTTAATAACCACTGATTGTAATCATTAGTCAATTGAAGATAGATCACCATGGAAAACGTGGAAGCAATGGACGGCCGTTTCGTTCTAGTATGGGACCCCCCAGAAGTGCGCATTCACGATCCCGCACCCCACGGGATCCGAACCCAGGACCTACCAGTCTCGCGCCAGGCGCCTAACCAACTAGATCACTGAGGCGGCGTCCAACGTTGTCAATGTCTAACTTGAAATAAGAGTAGATTAAAGGAAATGCTATGTATATATGTATATGATAAGATATAAATAAGATTTAGGTTCATTCTAGATGGATCATATATTTCAGCTTTCAGTCATAATGATATTTGGTCAGTTGACTTGTGTTAATCTTCCCAGTATATTTTCAAGTAACGATCTAATTACTGTTTACAATTATTCATTGATTTGATGATACTGTGATGAACAAGTATACAAGTGGGGACAATCGGATGTATCTGAGCATAAAATTACAGAATATCTCACTAAAATCTGAGAACTATACAGTAAATACTTCATTTGCAAACTGTCGATCAATTGTCTTGAACTTGACTGTTTCTTTTGTAAGTATCAGTCCATCGTCACAGATTTCATTGTTCATGCATCTTCATGCCAATTACTTTCCATTTCCATTCTTACCTTCTTGATCTTTTACTGAAGTACATTCTATTCCTAACCATCGCCATATTACTACTACTTATGTAGATTTAAGTAGCTCACACTACAATACCACCTCATAAAAAGCATTAGAAAACTATCAACAATGATTACCTATTATACATTTGATCTCAGATACAAATGTTCTTTTTTTTAAACCTCGTAATGTATTTGATACATAAATTTTATAGTGACTCCTATTCGTTTATCCGAAAGACAAATATAATTGAAAGTATACTTAATACCTTGAGAGTTCCCATCATACTTTTTAGGTATTAGCTTCACTAATATGTTGTAAGCAGTAGACTTACTTACTTACTTACGCCTGTTACTCCTCGTGGACGAGCATAGGCCATCCACCGACACTCTGCATCCAAACCTGTCCTGTTAAATCCTTTCCAGCTCCTTCCAGTTCTCATTTATCCTTTTCATATCTGCTTCTATTTCCCGACGTAATGTGTTCTTTGACCTTCCACTTTTCCACTTCCCTTCAGGATTCCAAGTTATGGCTTGCCTCGTGATGCAGTTTGATGATTTGCGTTATGTATGTCATATCCATTTCCATCGTCTTTTCCTAATTTCCTCTTGAGCTGAAACCTGATTTGTTATCTCCCACAGAAGGCCGTTGCTGATGGAATCCGACCAATGGATGTTGAGTATCTTGCGTACACAACTATTTATAAATACTTGTATCTTCTTGATGATGGTTGTAGTGGTTCCCTGTCTGTAGCTCTTCTAAAGTTACTGTCGGTCCCAAATCCGGGTAAAGGCGGAGGGTTGGGCATGGGTTTAGCGACCCCATCCCGAAGAAAACTGACCGGCCAAAAGACGCTAACCAGAAAAATAAACAGTAGACAAGGCTAGGATATATTTTTACATAATTAGTCTAAGAAAATTGGGATATATATATCGAATAGGAATCACCACTTTGAAAAATTAAGTGTTAGCTTGAATAAAAATCAAACTGAACAAGTTACATGATTGGCACGTATAGATATCATGCCTATCTTGTATCTTCACAATTCTCGAATCACGTTAACCACTGAGACCAGTTTTTGAAAGTTGAAGTGATATTAGTTCCAGTGGTTCGAAATTTTTCACTCATTTATCTCTTATCAAGTATTTACTTCGAACTGATGAACTTGTGTCAGGATTGACAGACTAAAGATCATAGGTCTAGTCCCTGGTGGCGAAGTCGCGGATACACGCTAATCAAAAGTCCTATACTTAACTGAAACAACTGTCAAATGCTTCATGATTTTTTGAAGCTCTGTTTTTAAACTAAGATCAATCCGTCATGTTAACTATGAAATTGGGAAAATCTCTATAAACTCTCCATAGTGATCAAATAGTTTGGTAAAATGCTATCTTTCTTTAACTTCGATGATCAAGATGTTAAGAATCAATTAATGGAAAGCCTTGATGACTGAGCTTAGATTGGTATCATGAATATATCAATGTTAGACCACCACTGGAAACCTGAAAACTCTGGACGGTCGTTTCGTCCTACTATGGGACTCCTCAACAATGCTCATCCACGACCTCGTGTGTGTGACTACAGCTCAGCACCTTTGGTCTCGCGCGCGGGCGCTTAACCTTCAGACCATTCAGCCGGCAACCAACGGTGGATTAGTCATCAAGATTATATGTACTTAATGTTATATGTAATTGTGTGTGGTTATTAGTGGGTGTAAAAAAATGTTATATCTGTTTTGATGGAGTTCTGTTCCTTAAACTGGATGGTTTGATCATGGAGCTTTCATCGTTCTTCTGAACGATATCACCAGCACAAAATTTAAGTAGAATTGAAATGTTCAACTTTCTCCATAAATCACTCACAACTTATCTTGTAGACCTCAATTCTGATTGATTATTGTTAACCTTTAACCTGTCATTCATTGATATTTGTGATGTGGTGATATGATGAGTGAGGTTAGAAATATTCACTTTTTTGTAAATGTAAGATGTGAATAGGATTAATGGTTCATGTTGTATAGATCTTAAATGTTCTTTGGCATGAGTTATAATTTACTGAGAAGACTTTTAGATATAGAATGCATAACAATTAAAAAATCCTGGCCTATAAACATAGTTCTGCGTCAAAGTGATAAGAATCTTATCCTTTGTTACAACGAAAACTTTTTCAAGTGTCCTCTGATCTGAGGATTCCTTGTAGAATTTTTTGTTTTGCCATGACGGTATGATAGATTTTCCCATGATAATTCATTCAATTTATTATTATTTAACAAAAGAACACTACGAAGGTTGGTAGTGGCTAGCAATGGAATCCAAGACGCCCGTTTCGTCCTATTTGAGACTCGTCAGCTGGATGTACCTGCATCTCAGAGTTGATGTTCACTTTGGGACTCGAACATAGTACTGTTCGCTTCAAACGCCATCACTTTATCCACTTATAATGTTTGTAAATTAAGGTAACGTCGATGCAATAAGCACAATATACACATATTCCAATAAAAGACTGATCAATTGCAGTCGTAAGCATCAATCGGCAGATTCAAGTAAACAATACCAAGTGAATTTAAAAGAACACTCCGCTTTTATATATTTTTAATAGTATTCATAGGAAAGGTACTAAAGTGTAAGAAGTTAATTAGATATTTCTGTTATTGTTTTTGCTTGTCTTCATCTGTTGTAATGATCTTTGACACTAGTCTGAATAAATTTACCACCTAAAGGATTTTGTATTGAGTTAAGTTGAAATCAATATACCGATTTGAGTGCATTTTTCATGATCTCAAATTCTTTAGTTTTATTCGATATAGAGAAGTTTTAAGTAACAACAATATATGTCATGTCCCTACTAATTTTCAATTGTTCTCCTATTGATGTCAGGCTATGACAGAAACTCGTTCTAAGTAAAGACCGGTGTCAGGTATGGTTGCTTAATCTCATCCTATCTCTTTCTCCTGGTGACCGACTGGATCATGAAGACGTCAACATCTGAAGGTAGGCATGGGGTACAATGGACAACTAGGATGCTGCTGGACGATCGAAACTTCACAGATGATCTGGCTCTCCTAACGCAAACGCAACAACAAATGCAGAAGAAGACACCCAGTGTTACAGCAGTCTGAGTAGCAGTAAGTCTCAGCATACACAAAAGGAAAAGTAAAGTTCTCCGATACAACACAACATGCACCAATCCAATCACAATTGATGGAGAAGATTTGGAAGATGTAAAAACCTTTACATATTTGGGCAGCATCATTGATGAACACGGAGGATCTGATGCAGATGTGAAGGCGAGGATCGGTAAAGCAAGAGCAGCATATTTACAACTGAAGAACATCTGCAACTCAAAACAACTATCTGTCAACCAACACCAAAATCAGAATTTTCAATACAAATGTGAAGACAGTTGTACTGTATAGGACGGAAACCTGGAGAACTACGAAATCCATCATACAGAAAATACAGGTGTTTATTAACAGTTGTCTACACAAAATACTTCCGATCCGTTGGCCAGACATTATGAGCAACAATCTGCTGTTGGAGAGAACAAACCAAATCCCAGTGGACGAAGAAATCAGGAAGAAGTGGTGGAAGTGGATAGAACACACATTTGGAAAGCAACCAACTGCGTCAAAAGACAAGCCCTCACATAGAATCCTGAAGGCCAGAGGAGAGGCGGAAGACCAAAGAACACATTACATCGAGAATTGGAGACGGGCAGACAGACACGAGAAGAATCAACAATGATTGTATAGAACTAGAAAAGAAGGCCGAGGACAGAGTGTTTGGCAGTATGTTGGTCGGCAGCCTATGTTCTATCGTGAGTAACAAGCGTAAGTAAGTAGGTATTATCAGAAACTATCTTTAGATGTACTGAATATTTATTGATTCTTTAAAGCATATGACTTTAATGAAGTCAATTCAACTGATTTATTGATTTGTTTTTAATTTTAATTTGATAGAAGGAACAACTTTACATAACCGGTGGACAATTAGTAAATAGTGATCATATACAGTCTGCAAATATATTGATTGAAGATGGAAAGATTGTGTAAGTATTCAAAAGTTTATGATTACTCTTATTACTATTCATATTGAAGTTAAGCCATTGTATTGAAATTGGCAGATCTATCGAAGCGTCCAAGTCACCCGATTGAGATACGCGCAAAACCGAAGTTTCCAAAACAACGATTCGTCTACAATAGCGGTTCTCAACTTGTGAGGTGTCTAGGGCGTTCAAACGCGTCCTTCAAGTATGAAAATAAAAAGGCTTCGATAGTACAAAAGACAGCTGATAGCTGTGCCTAAATTTGATAACAGTTTATGAGCAAACGAAACTCGAACCAAGAGCAAAACAATATGGAAACTGTTGCGTTTAAACAAATGCACAAAACTGTGGATAACGGCTACAGAGATTAAGATGCAGTAATTATAACGATAAATACAATGATAAATACAATAAACGTTATAAGTATATGTGAACATTCCAGAATATTACACTGCAACTTGCGTTACAACATAAGTGTGAAAATTGTCAATAACACAACTGCTTACTGAATGTAAATAAGTAGTATAAGACAATATACAAAAGAGTAGAAAGGGAACGACTAGGAACAACGTAAGGCAAACTTAACAGAAATATTAGGACAATGTTGATGTTGAACTAACTTTGAGACTTGAAACCTACTTCCAATTAATGAGTAAATATCTTGAATGAGTCAAATATATTAAAGTATAATGATTTGGAGGTTTATTGTCGGTTTTCAAATCTTAATATCATAGAAATCTTTCATCATCTTCACATTAATACATTCACATGTAAAGTATCTTTTCAGATCATTCCAAAGCTGCTGGTAATTATGAACCATCAAGTAATAGATAAACTGACAAATTATCTTCTCAGTCGAATTGAATATTGGTATCTTTTTAAATGTTTCGGTGAACTATTCTACAGAATTAAACAATAAAAGTTGTTATAACAAATTGTTAAGTCTGTCGAAGCGTCCAAATCACCTAATTGAGATACACGTAAAATCGAAGTTCATAAAGCAACGATTTGTCTAAAATAGCCTTTCTTCACTGAATAATATGCGAAAATTAGTTACAAACCTTAACTGTGAGGTGTCTTTGGCGTTTGCCACGTCTTTGATAGGCTTCGATACTGCAAAAATGACAGCCATTGGCTATGTTCAAACTTGGTAACAGTTTATCAACAAGCAAAAACTGAACTAAGAGCAAAATATATATGGAAACTGTTCCGTTTAAACAAGGATCAAACGAATGCACGAATTCGAGAATAAATGCTACGATGAATCAGATAAATTAATTATAATGATAAATACAATAAATGTTATAAGTATATGTAAATATTTCAGAATCTTACACGACAAACTTGCCTGACAACATAACTGTAAAAATTGCTGGAATACAACTGTTTACTGACTAATAATAAGTAGTATAAAACAATACACAAAAGAGTCGAAAGGAAGTGAATAAGGATAGAGAACGTAAAACAGACTTAACACAAATGTGTGACGATGCTTTGTGTGCACCAGCAACATTATGTCCACCAATCCGCATTGGATTGATAGGTTTGGATTGCCCCCAATTAGCTGAGTAATAAACAATTTCATTCTGTCTAGTTCCTAGTTTAGACCAAACTTTATTGACTAAATTAGCAACACGAAAATTGGTATATCATAATATCAGACAGTCGTAGTTAACGTAGAGCCTTGTGCAAATGTTATCTCGGTCTTCATCATAAAATATAAGCACAATAAGATAAAATTAATAAGATGAATGGCAATGAAATCATGATAACTGTACGGATACTGATAACAAACAAGGTTCAACATTAAAAATATGGTCTGAGAAGGAATAGAAATAAAGCATTCATAAGGGAATATTTGAACTTAAAATCTAGAGGAAGATAAAGAATAAACCTCATCTGCTCCCCTATGGTCATTTTGGTGACATATCATCAAAACTCACGGTTTAGTTTGTTGTTATGTTGAATAGTTGCTGAAAGTCGACAGAAATAAGATTACCTGGATCTCATTCTGGTTATTCCTTATCATGAAGATTGGTGTGTGCGATTCTGTTAGCGGTTGACTTGCGAGTTGACTTCAACAACCTAGCATTTACCTCATCTTAAAATTTGCTAATCTTCATTTGATTAATCAGTGAATAAGTTAGATTTATGTTGCTCCAATTTACAACAAATTAGGTCAACTGGTACAAACATTGAAGTTCAACCGGATACGCCAACACTTGATGCTACCGGAATGTTAATTATGCCAGCTGGAATTGATATGTCTACTTACTTAATACAAGATATCCATTCGATTGATACAGAAGAGTATATAAATTTTACAAAAGAGGCCTTACTTGGTGGGACTACGACAATTGGTAAGTTTTACAATTGAAAGTTTCTATTTTCTGGGTAATTTCTTGTTATCAGAATGACTGTACCACATTATAATGTCTCTCAAATCAGTAAACGTCCAGTTAACTCGGATCAGTGAAGTTTATTAACTAATATAAATCAAAGAGAAGGAGAGAGCGTAAAATCTCTGGATTTATCTTTCTGTAGTGAAAAGCAGTGAAATACTATGAAATACCAGTTCACTTTTCAAGTCATTATATTGTCAAGTGGTTCTTTAACACTTGATCCCTATTGGGTTTCCACTTGACATTCAGAGACAGCTCTGCGTAGTATGTGGTGGCTTGGAGGATTCAGTACGGTTAGTCGATAAAATAATCTAGAGCTGAGAAAAAAAATAAACTAAATCCTCAATAAGCACATAAATATGTGAATAACAGTTTGTAGAGATTAGTAATTTAAATGGTTGAATTCATGAGTCGATCTAATCCAGACCACCATTGAAAACTCAGAAGTACTGGATGGCCGCCTTATCTCAATGTGCGACTTCGCAGCAATGAGCACCCACAATCCCTCATGCTGGACTCGAACCCGAGACCCTCGGTCTCGCTCGTGAACTCTTAACATCTAAACTTCTAATCCAACATACAATTTTGTTCATGTCTAACTTCAATCAACTGATAGATGTCATAGATATCTGATGTTGAAATAACTGACGATTGATAATTCAGTAATTGGAATTATAATCAGAGAGGGGTATTGTATATACTATAGTAATTTTAACAGTTAGATTCATAAATCAGTTGAAGCTAGATCACCATACAAATCCTGGAAGCACTGGAGGGCCGTTTCATCCATGGTATGGGACTCCTTAGCAATGCCCATCCACTATATCGTCTCGTGAGATTAGAACTCAGAACTGGTCAGTCTACCTATCTCTACAATTTTCTTTTTAATTTCCTTAAATATTTTTATTTTAGTCTTTGTCTACTAAATTTATATTTAAGTAGTATGTACGTATTTATTAAAATGTCTTCCTAGTTGATACTATCATATGTCCAAAAGATTCATCAGCTGTTGATCTTTTAATAAAATATAAAAATACTTTCAAAGAAACAAAATTTTGGTGTGATATTGTCATTCGTATTGGTTTTATGGAAATTCAAGAGAATCATTTAAATGAAATAGAACAGTTAACTAAACAACATGGAATTAATTCGTTTCTAGTGAGTTCAAGCCAATTAATGAATTATTTGTTTTTCTTTCTATGGAATAACATTTTATGAGGCATTCTAAACTTTATGTTAGTTTTATTCATGGAATACTATTGACTTATGAGTTATTAAATCCAAATGATTATTGAATGAGTGATGAGATTAATGCACGTAAAGTGAAAGCCAGAGCGGCTTATGCCAATCTGGGCCACCTTTGGCGCCTTCGTGATGTTAGTCTGGCTGTAAAAGGTCGGATCTACAACGCGTCGGTGAGAGCAGTTTTGCTCTATGCTTTTGAAACCTGGCCTCTCCGAGTAGAGGATGTTAGACGACTCTCTGTATTTGATCATCGTTGTCTCCGAAGGATTGCTGACATTCAGTGGCAACACCATGTCAGTAATGCAGAGGTTCGGCATCGTGTGTTCGGGCACAGAGATGATAATTCAATTGGTGTGACCATCTTGAAACACCGACTTCGGTGGCTTGGACATGTTCTCCGAATGTCGTCCCAGAGAATTCCACGTCGTGCATTATTTGCCGACTCTGGGACTGGTTGGAAAAAGCGGAGAGGTAGTCAGTGTATGACATGGTGTCGTGGTATGAAAGAAAGCTGCAAAGGGCTGGCTTGTGTTGGTCCTTCACGACTCCCTGGTTGGGGTCTGAGAGATGGTGCTACACAGTGGCTAGAGACGTTATCAGATATGGCTCAGAATAGAAGCCAGTGGTGATCCCGCTTTAACCTTCTTTTACTTTCTTCATAAAAAAATGGTTGTATCTTCCTTAACTGAAAGATTTCTTCTATTTGTACCTTTCCGTTCCTCCATTATCACTATTATTATTATTATACTACATTACACCAATCTGTTCGTTATTGTTCCCCTTTTCTTTCACGCTCCTTACCTTTTTTTCCTTGTCTTTAAATTCTCATTGTTTTGTGTGCCGCATATATATTTGGTGCCCTCTTGTACCAATATTTATGTGTTCAAATAAATAAATAACTAAATAAAATTGAATGACTTATGATTTTTACATTATATCGTGACTTAGTTGAGATTAATAATGTGGATTTATTAGATTGCGTGAGCTATTTGATCCCTTTGATTATCAATATTTTGCCAAGTGATATCAGAACCTGGGAAAAAAATGAATAGCCAGTTGTTTTCGTTTAAAAATGGACAATCATATATTTGACAGGGTTTTTTATAGAGATTGTAGTAATTTAATAATTGAATTCATGAATCAATTGAAGCTAAATCAACATGGAAAACCTGGAAGCATTGGACGGCTGTTTCATCCTAGTATGGAACTCCTCACCAGTGCACATCCACTATCTCACCCCGTGTGATTCGAACCTAGGACCTATCAATCTCGCACGCGAACGCTTAACCTCACATATCTATCTTTAATGTTAAATAATACCCAAAGAAAAGGGGTTATAAAATCGTCATCGTGATAAACTTCAGTGTTCTTTTAGACTAATCATTTAGAATACCAAGACATATGAACAACAGATATATCTGTTAAGTATAAGATGAGTATAATGACCAACGACTATGATGATTTGATTCAGTGTTTACTCCACAGATAATTTTAACCACCTTAAGCATCCATTTATCATGTTAGTATAATGAGTTCTATACTAGGACGAAATAGACATAAAATTATCGTTTTTATGACTGAAACTGTGCATTGGAAGATGGTCGCGCAATTTCGCGGATTGGTTTAGGTTAGACATTAACACATTTGGATACCGACTTAGTGGTTTAGAGACTAAGCATTCGCGCGCGAGATTGAGGCTTTCGGTTTGAATCCCGCGAGCGGGATCGTGGATGTGCACTGCTGAAGAGTCCCACAATAGGATGAACCGACCGTCCAGTACTTCCAGGTTTCCAGTGGTAGTCTAACATCAATCAGTTCATGATGTCGATCTATAACTGTTTACACAATAGTCTATTTCTTATTATTCTTTTTATGCTTAAATGATCTGTTTTACATGGATACACTTGGAAAAAAATGAAATGTGAATCAACAAACTACTAATCAACAGTTTATTGTTGATCCAATGGAAATGGATAAAACTTCTAAAGATTCATCATACATTACCAATTTATTAAAAGCTTTGGATAAATGTAAACAAACTGGTTCAATTGCTGTTATCAAATGTGATCTAAGAAAGTTAAATTACGATTGTTCAAGTGATTATTTGAATAAACAAAATGATGTAAGTAAAATAAAAGTAATATATTTGTACATATCCTAACAAGTAGAATACTTAAATTTTCTGATGTTTCGTAACTTAGTGTAAGTCACTTCTTCAGAGTAAATAACTAATCAAATCAAAATGAATCCAAGTTTAAATAGTACAACAGAACAACACAAAAATATTATGTGCGATCAATCATAAAAACAAATCTAAACAAGTCAATGTTATGTTAGATGCTGGTTGGAGGTAGTCGACAGGAAACCCTGTACTCGGATTTCGTGCTACTTGGCACTCATCAACAAGATGTATTTGTAATCTTGAGGGAACTGGTGCTCCCTGACGGATTCGATTCCGTGTCACCCAGTCAATGTTATGTCATTTCGGTCAAGATGATTTATAAACGACATGTATGTAGGTGGGTGGGTGCTTGTCTGTGTATATGTGCAAGGTCAGTGATGAAACAATGTGACCTTTGTGGTGAGAAAGGAGAGAGTTTAATTTGTATGTAAGATAATAGTGTGAAATGTGAATAATATTAGATATGGTAGCTTGGATAGATAGTCCAAGTCGGATGTATGATAAGACCTTCTTTTCTATTGAGAGCAGTAGGATTAAGCATTATAAGGAAAGCTTTAGCCACTCTCTTTTCTTTGTAATTAGACAATTACACAATTAAATTTTTAATATTTTATGTATCAACACATTTATAGCAAGTAGGATATGTCTGAAAAACTTGAAACTTCAAACTACATACATAAGAAGGTAGAGTTTCCTACATGTTCTTAATAAAAACTGTTTTGTGGAGTAGGTCATAGATATCAGATAATGAAATAAGGGTTAAAACCTCGAGTTAAGTAATGTGATTCAGCTATTCTAATTTCATCGTTTAAGGGGAGACAAAGAGTGTATACATCTAAGCCATTTTGATCAATTCTGAACCATGTCATGCAAAGTAGAGATAGTTGAATTCCTGAAATGATGATTCAACAGTGTGGTGTTCGGCACTAGAACTGAAATCTCAGAGTTTGATTTCATATGAGTTCGAGTGTGTATCTTTAAACTATCAGTATAGGGATTTGTAGAGATTGTATTATTTTCACCTGTGAAGTTTAATCCGTGTAAGGTGTGAGACAGTTATCTACCTCAAACAATGGATGAAAGGTTGTGCAAGATCATAGTTTTAAAGTAATAAGGAATCTTTTTTTTTGGTTGAGATCATGAACCGATTGATGTCAGACCGACATGGTAAACCTGGAAGCACTGGATAGTCGGTTCGTCCTATCGCGGGACTCGTCAACAGTGCGCATCCACGACCTCGCCCCCTACGAGATAAAATAGTTGTATAGAGTATGATCTGATCTTTATTAGTTCAATTCATCACTTTATGATGAGAATTTTCATTAGAAATTTCTATAAATGTAAAATTCAATTTACTTTTCTTATTATTATCTAGTTGGAATTAAGATCCATTGAAAAATGTATTGTACTTGTTACATCAACAAATTGTCCAGTAATTTTCTCTTCTATCAATGAAATGAATACAGTTGAAAGAATTTCTAAAGTAAGACGACAAATTCCACCTATTCATATTACTGTATGTTGTACATCAAATTCATTATTATCGAAGATAACACATAGCCAAGTAAGTTGATTAAAATGTTTACTGAATATTTCTTTCAATCTACAATTGATATTTACTATAGATGAAGTTTAATAAATCACTTCAAGATAAATTCCTAGATTTTTAACAGGAATTTGTGACTTGTGAAGTGTAAACATGTGGGGAGTGAAATGTTTATTACCAATTACAGTGGTCTAAAGGTTAAGCGTTCGTGTGTGAGACCTATATGTCCTGGGTTCGAATCTCACGAGGAGGGATTATGGATGCGATTTTCTGAGGAGTCTCACAACAGGATGAAACTACCGTCCAGTGCTTCTAGGTTTTCCATGATGATTTAGCTTCAATTGACTCATGATCTCAACTATTGAAATTACTATAATATCCAAAAATATCCCTTCTGATCTTAAATAGTAAACTAATTCCATTTAAAAATGGTTACCATTGATTATCAGCTCAATAGTCTAATGATTAGGTGCGCAACCAAAATTCTCCAAATTCATAGGTTTAATCAGTAGAATAGTCGTAGATCCACACTTCTTCACAGTCATATACTAGTACCAAACAGTTATCCAATACCGAATGGTTTCTAATTGTTCTCCATCTTTGATGAACAACCTACAGATAATTCAATATTGTTCAAACAAATCTTCATCATTAATTAAAACAAGAATGACAGTATTTGTGGAATATGGTAAAGTCGTTCTATTTTGTTCTCTTTCTTTTCAGATCCATATTAGTTAATACATTTTGATTGTTTCTTATTGTTAACGTAATGTTTAATTTCACTAAATGAATTGTCAGTAATGGACATTGTTATTTTGAACATAAACGAAGTTGAGGATTCAACTTTTGACAGGTATTTTTGTAATTATTTAGGATGATGGTCTTCAGATTCAGCTTTGTGTAGTAAGGACAGAATACTTACAGCCTATGTTATTCCTTTTCTAGGAATAATGCCTTGGTACGGCCGAGAGTGGGAAGAGTCCACTCTCCCTCTTCAAATGCTCTCACATGGCCACGCGTATACAGCCTCTGCCAGGGAAGTTCTACTCACTGCCTTCTCGTGGCAAGGGTGTTGTTTACGAAATTGAGAGGAAGGAAAGAGAATATCCGGTGCTATAACCGGGTTAGTGGACATGGAGAATCCACCTAGGGGAGCTGGAAAAGCCTCATTCCAAACCAATGGTGCAAATGTGCTGCAAGATCCTAAAGGAACAAATGGCGTATGAACCAATTGTTTGTCACCGTCTACCATGGGACTGCATCTTCTGACGATGCTCCACTGCCTTGTGGATCACACCTTTAGGTCAAAGGTTCTGGGTGTGACCTCCTAAGCAAACCACGTGGTTCGGTTTGGGCACCCGGGCAGTATCCCAGCCCTCACACATATCGAATGATTTATGTGGCGCATATCAATTTAGTGCCTCCTTATACCAATGTTTATGTGTTTAAATAAATAATACTTCTTTGAGTGTCTAGTCTTCTCTTGAATGAGTCAATCTGAGGTGCCGACACTACTGCTTACCGTAGCAGGTTCCAAAGAATGATGATTCAGTGTGAAAACCTGTACACCCGCTCGTTCTTGGCTTTTCTACTCGCCTGTTATATCCTTTGAGATGTCCTGATTTTGTAGGAAGAAAAAGAGAGAATATATTAAGTCCAAAATCATTTATTAGTATTCTATACATCAAATGTTGTTACGTAATAGAATTCCATCCATCTCAATCATTTTTGACTAATTTCGATATAATCGATTATATAATATTGAATCGATATTACTGTTCTCATGTAATTTGTAGGTTGTTTTACAACTGACCAGTTTATCATTGTGTAAATAATAGATCTATAATGTCTAATAATTAAGTTTGAGAATTCATCTCACCCATGATTATTGATTTCAGAACACAGAATTACATAAGTGAATGCTGAGATTCTGTTCAATCTTGAATTGAATAATGAATTAATAAGTGAAAATAAAGTTTCATATCACAAATTGAATTTGATTGGACAACTATTAAAAAGTAGGATCTTAGGTATGATCTATCTTGGAGTCATCAATGAAAACTTCTGATTACATTCATACTTCAATCAAACAGAAATCTATAGCTTCCTGTTATTTTAAATGGTTGTCTAACCAAAATCGGTCCCAGAGAGGAAACCTCATGTTCAACAATCTCCACAATACTTCCTTACGCCTGTTACTCACGATAGAGCATAAGCTGCCGACCAACATACTGCAAAACACTCTGTTCTCGGCCTCCCTTTCTAGTTCGATACAATTCTTGTTCATTCTTCTCATGTCTGTCTGTCTGTCTCCAATTCTCGATGTATTATGTTCTTTGGTCTTCCGCCTCTCCTCTGGCCTTCAGGATTCCACGTGAGGGCTTGCTTTGTTAAACAGTTGTGTTCTTACGTCAATGTGTGCCCTATTCACTTCCAGCGCTTCTTCCTGATTTCTTCCTCCGCTGGGATCTGGTTTGTTCTATCCAACAGCAGGTTGTTGCTCATAATATCTGGCCAACGGATCGGAAGTATTTTGTGTAGACAACTGTTAATAAACACCTGTATTTTCTGTATGATGGCTTTCGTAGTTCTCCAGGTTTCCGTCCAATACAGTAGAGCTGTCTTCACATTTGTATTGAAAATTCTGATTTTGGTGTTGGTTGACAGATAGTTGTTTTGAGTTCCAGATAAATAAACTTGAATTAATAAAGTATTTTGCTAAGTTCAATGGTATTCCCGAAGTGAATACCAACTCTGAGATGTAGGTACATCCAGTTGACAAGTCTCAAACAGGACGTAGCGTGCATTCTGGATTCCACTGCTAACCACCATCCATCTTTATTTAACCATATAATAGTTGAAAAATAGACAATCTTGAATAAATTAGGTAAGGTGATCTCTAATCGTATCAAAATTACATAAAGTAATCATGTAAATAAAATAGACTTTCATAATTTATACTTAACCATTCAACGGATTTTTATGGATAAATTGATGAGTCAATAAAAGTTAAACCACGATGGAGAACCTGAAGTTACTGAACGATCTTTTCGCCCTAATGTGGAACTCCTCAGCAGTGCACATCTACGGTCCTTCACCGCAGGACTCGAACCAAGGACCTATCGGCTTCGCGCGCGAGCGCTTAACTACTAGACTACTGAGCCAGCATCCAACGGTGTTAACGTCTAACTTTAACTTATCCATGAAACTGAACAACCGTCCACTATTGTCTTCAGTGAGTTACTGTCTCACATCAGATATCTATGAATTAAACTCCGCCTGGAGTCTCTCCGGGGGCTACTGCCGGTCCCAAGCCCGGATAAAGGAGGAGGGTTGGGCATGGGGTTAGCGTCTCCATCCCGTAGAAAACTAACTCGCTAAAAAAACGCTAACCAGAAAAAAAAAATTATTCAAATATTCGAAGGGGTTTTGTGGAAATTTTAGTAAATTCAATAGTTGAGATCATAGGTCAATTGAAGCTAGATCACCATGAAAAACCTAGAAGCACTGGATGTTCGTTTCTTCTTATTTTGGGACTCCACAGCAGTGCATATCCACGACCCCGCCTCATGAGATTCGAACCCAGGACCTACTAGTCTTGCACGCTAACACTTAACCACTAGACCACTGAGCCAGTATCCAACGCTTAAATATTCATTAAAAAAGGGGGTTAATCAGTTGCCGAGTGAATTTTGTTTAAATCTACACTTGTTCAATAATCAATATTGAAACTTTTAGTTTTGATCAACATTTTAGTTTTGAAGGTAAATAAAGAAAAGAAACGTGGTATATCGTATATCATCCATATTGTGTATATAAATATGACTAATTATGAAAATAGTTTGATCTCAACTGTTTCTTTGTTTGTTTGTTTGTTGATTAGTAAAATTACAGAGTTAACAAAATACCAAGTCATAATGTGATAAGATCAGTTTTGTGACTATAGTTACATAAAAGAACAGATAAATGTACTAAGGGGAGCTTTCAATGGCACTCTCTCCCTCACACACACACACACACACACACATACATACATACACACATACATGCGCATTGTGTTTCTCTAATCATATATCACTATAAAATGAGTCATATATAACTCTTCATGGTAAATAATGGTAAATTAATTATGTTCATTCATATAATCACCAGGATAATCTATCCTATTTTACATAAATTATTCGCATAACTGGAATACTATTACATTTGGCACAGTATTTTACTGATTCAAGTTTATTTTCAGAAGAGATTTAGTAATTTCAATAGTTGAATTCATGAGTCAATTGAAGCTAGACCATTATGGAAAGCCTGGAAGCACTGGATGGTCTAGAATTCAGTTTAAATTTTAAGAGTTCACTCGTGGTCACCCTTAACGTTATTCATTATGAATATTTGGATATAAAGAACTTGATACTTACAAGTAGTGAAGTAATTGAGCGTGTCGATCGCTTCACTTATCTTGGAAGTCTCATCAGACTTTGTGGTCTGGTGTGTGACGAAATATCAGCACGGATACAGAAGGCTCGACTAGGTTTTACCAACTTGCGTCATTTATGGAGTAGGCGAGATATCCGTCCATCAACCAAAGGACGTGTTTACTGAGCAGCAGTTCGTTCCGTCCTACTTTATGGCAGTGAAACATGGCCGGTAAGAGTAGGGGATATTCGTAGGTTACTGGTATTTGATCATAGGTGTCTTCGAAACATCGCTTGTATATCCTGGGACCATCGAGTAAGTAACACAGTTGTTAGGAGACGGGTACTAGGTAAGGATGGCAAATCAATTGAAGTAGTGAAACTCTATCAGTTGAGATGGCTGGGACATGTGTTACGTATGCCCAACCACCGACTGCCTCAACGCGCGATGTTCAGTGGTATAGAAGTAGGTTGGAAGAAAGCTAGGGGCGGCCAGACCAAAACATGGCACAAATCCATGAAGTCACTGACAAGTGGACTGAGTCATGTTGGTAGGTGTAGACTACATGGTTGAGGACCGCGAGATGATAGCAACCGATGTTT